AACTGGTCCCCCCGGGTTTGGGGGGGGGGGCAGCCGGGGTCCCTCCATAGCTGATTGCTGAGCTGGGGGGGTGCAGAAGGGCCCCCTGTGCATTCTGCAGTGGACCTGGAAGTGGATAGGTCACACTCAGAAATGGAGAGGCTTCGAGCAAGTCATCCTTTTAGATACCACGTTAAAGTGCTATCAAGAACCAGGGAATGCCCCAAAACATGAAGTACTTCCGATCCACTTCTGGGTTTGCAGCCAAGCATGTGGGGGGCTCCCCTGCACTCCTGTGGGGTGCTCCATCTGCCCCACCATTGCAGCATTCACGAGCTATGCCTGGTACCTTGAGGTATGTAGAAAAAACATTTAAAGCTGTGTCCATGGCTGAATTGAATCACTGTCCCTGATTTGGGCCGAATCCGAATCCAAATAAAATACGGCCCGTTTCACACACCCCTATAAAGCATCACTTCAGAACTGTGCTTTTTAAGTTAATGAGCATTAAAACAGGCTAATACACATTTTTCTAGTACCTCAAAATGAAGGTTGTATATTTAATGCACATTAACTAAAGTACAATAATGCACATGTAGATGCACCCACAGATTATGGCACCCTATCTATTCTATCTAAATCAATTGAAGTCAGTTGAAGTTATTCCATTGACTTCAGTGTCCTCTGGATTCATCCAGTAGGGAGCAGAATCCTCAGTGCTCTGCAAGTCTGCCTACAAGTTCTGGCAGTGTTTTGGGGCATGCCCTGGTTCTTGATAGCACTTTAATGTGGTATCTAAAAGGATGACTTGCTTGAAGCCCCTCCATTTCTGAGTGTGACCTATGAAGTGGATGTCACAATGGATGTCATGTTACATGAAGTGGTATGAAATGATGGAATGAAAAAGGCTTATATTGGATTATGCATGACTTAAAAAAATCTTGTACAGGAATTTTCTTCCTTGTGTTTTTTGACATTTTATTTTATATGTAGTTTACAATTTTATTAAAAGATTATAAGCAACAAAGCAATAAAGAAACAGAAAGGGCCCACACACAGAATAAATGTAGCAATACTCTGTAAACTTTCAAAAGAAGAGCTACATTGAAAAGCCACCACAGTATAACAGTAAGTATGGACTTAAAAAACAATTGACATATGAACTGAATTCAGACAGGCCGATATCTGCAATTAAGCTCTCTGATCTGTGCAAAGATGGGGGGAAAACAAGATTAATAAGGACAAAATAATCAAGCACAATAAACACCAGTAAAGACAGAAACACCCAATTACCGGTGGGGGCACATTTCTCACAGGAGGGCCACTCTCTCTCCAATCTCTCAGTCCTGATCCTCAAGGGAAACTTGCACAACACTTCCCAGAGACGAGCCTATGAGCTCCATTTCATCAACCTCCTGGACACTAGAGATCAGGGACTAAACATAGACATTGGATTTTTGATACATTACAATCTGCCTGGCAACTGACTCCCCAGCCCAGCCCAGCCCCTGGCTTCTTTACTTTTCATTCCATCCAGGAAGAGCACACACCAACTGCTGCAGCTTCCTTAGCCTGACGAAGGGTTTTTGAACCCGAAAGCTTGCTTAATAACTATTCTCCAACCATTTGGGTTGGTCTAATAAAAGATATCAAATTCACCCAAGGAACCTTGTCTGCCAAGGTCTACAACACATTAACAGCAGAAGATGCTGATCCTGCAAAGACTTACCTACACATTTAACTCTATGCAGTAAGGATAGCCCAATAGATTTTGATGGAACTTCTTACAGTGCATAAAGTTAAGAACCTGTTTCCCATCACCCAGATAGAGAGGGATCTATGTAAAATAAGCTTAGTCCTATTTCTAAAGGGCAAGGGAATATCCACATCAAAAACCATAACTTAATACAAGCGCTATTCCCCCATGAGGATTTCACGACCATGCCAAATAAATACCACTCTTTGGTCTGTGCTTTCTTGCAGGTTTTGACTTAAACACATTGCTCAGCAGATGTGGGAAAGCCTAAACAGCCTGTTAAAAAATAGAGAACTTCAGTCTTTCCATAAATTAATTTAAAAGAAATTAAAAGAATAAAATTTGCAATGCCAAAGAGCTTTAAGCCTTTATAAGTCCAGATGCAACAGAATTGCTGAATGCATCCTGTTCAAAATCAGATTAAAATGGCATGATTTCATAGACTACTGCTTTATAAAACAGTAAATTACCCATCAATAATGTGATTACATAAAAAAATCCATTTATGGTACAGCCAATAAGAGCTCTCACATTCCAAGACACTCTGTGAAACAGGGAACTGCAAAATTTATCCTGAACTCCCTATTTTTTTCCCCATAAAGACCACCACCAGAAGCAAAATAATTACCTTATTAGTTTTTATGTTCAATATATCTTTAAACATTAATTGCATAGCTTAGCATCTCAAATTTCCAGGAACAAGACAGGGCTTTGTATTTTCTATTACACTGAAACAACTGTAAACCTATTCCTTTCTGGTAAAGCATTTAGCAAATCTAATCCTCAATCCTATCATGAATGCCTCTGCCTAAAACAAGCGCTAAAAAAAACTGTATCAATGCTGTCTCACATTCTTAATGCCATTTCTTTTGTTCAAGCATGCTGTGTAGATGAAAGTGATAAGTTAGCATGTATTTTACAATTTGTCTGTTAATCTATAAGGAGCCGTTCTGCCCTGTCTTGTGCCTAACTTTAACCTAGCAGGCCTAACTACCCCTCTTTACAGTTAGGACTGTAAATCAAACACACTAAGAGCCTGAAGCAAGATAAGTAGGAACAAGCCCCAGCATAATAATTCAATTTTAAAACGTTCAGAAAGCCAGCCACTCTCTAAGAAAAGGTGAAGGTTTATTTTTACATTTTGTAAGACCCAAAAGAATACCTTTAAATTCTAAATGCATTTTCCTAAACTGACATAAGTTTTATATGTTTGAGAAAAATCTCATTTGATCACCAGAAGAGTTTGCCAACATAATTTAATCCCGAGAGCATTACTGCTTGGCAATTAGGCATTTCTATCACTCCAAGACGTTTTCTATCAAGCGTTTACTGTATTTTTAAAAACGGGCTGTGAAAAGAATGATATACCAACCTTCTTGGGTTTGTATTTGTTCACTAAATCTTTAATGAACTGGTACCGTTGCTTGTACAGTGGAGGCGTGAACTTAATGGTTCCTGTACATTCACCCTTGGCCAGGTTTGCATCCACCATCCTGCCTACGCTGAAAGTTAAAAATTACGTTTCCTGAAACAGATCTGACAACAATTAATTCAGCCCCTCACTCCCCCTGAATTCAAAATCAACCATATATAGATCTGATCCCACTTGCATGTAATGTTCTCAAATGCAGGCCCTGTTTTTCTTTCCACTTAGGACTGAAGGACCTGAATCTCTTCATCCTTCTCAAAAGAAGGCTGAGAGGTGATCTTGTGGCTGCCTATAAATTCATCAGGGGAGGGCAGCAGGGAATAGGAGATGCTCTGTTTATTAGGGCACCCCCTGGAGTAACTAGGAACAATGGCCACAGAGTGACAGAGAACAGATTTAGGTTGGACATTAGAAAAAAACTTCTTCACAGTAAGGGTTGCCAGAATCTGGAATGACTTCCAAGGGAGGTGGTGCTCTCCCCTACCCTGGGGGTCTTCAAAAGGAGACTGGACAAGCAACTAGCTGGGGTCATCTGACCCCAGCACTTGCTCTTTCCTGCCCAGGGCAGGGAGTCAGACTCGATGACCTACTGAGGTCCCTTCCAACCCTAACATCTATGAAGCTATGAACAGGACAGGGTCCTCTCCCAACCCACTCTGCGCCTCCCAGCATGGCACCTGTGCACAGACACATTGAAGACCCACTCCAGGAATCATGCAATCCAGGCAGGGCCTTCACCGCCTGTGCCAGGAAGGGGGAAACAAGAGCTAAGCCAGCCCCAAGCCTAGAAAGCCCAATCGAGGCAGAGCAGGGTCTCCCAGACAGCCCTGCCTGGTGGCTACTGCCACCACAGACTATCCCATGACCCTCTCCAGGCTCCCTCCATCCCACCCACCACCCCTGCATGTCACAGCGGCCGCTGCAGGAGGCAATGCTAGGCTTCCGGGTCCTGCAGCCACGGGGACAGCATCTCTGCGGTGACTGCTGGCTCCATTCTCATATGTCCACACAGTGCAGAGCAGACAGGTTCCTTTACACTAAATTCAAAATGGGTCACAGCTGTGGCTGCTTCCCTTTATAATGGCAGGAAAACTCTGTGCATGGATTCAGTCTTAATATAATTGGGCAATCAGGACAGCAGTAGGGACTGTATGATACCTAGAGGTATTATAGGCCAATGATGTCATGGTCCCTCAGGCAGTGGGTTGGACTAGATGACCTGTGGAGATCCCTTCCAGTGCTGCTTCTCTATGATTGCTCCATAGCTCATTGATGAGTCTTGAGGTGACGTAAAAGTCCAACCCTTGAGTTACAGATCTTTCCATCAAAGTTGCAGGGCTTTCCCCAGGGGGAAGGCAGACCATAGGCTGGGATTTCTCTTCTTTTTCTTCCTCCGTGCTCTCTTCTCTACTTTGATGGCAAGATGCTTTTCCTCAAAGCAGGCTGCCACTTGGCTGAGAGTGTAGTGCCATTTGGAGTCAGTTAGCAATGAAATATGAGAAGGTCAATGTGCCTTTAACAGCAGTATCTCTTTGTGTTTCTAGTCAACTTCAAAATGCACATTGTATTTAGTTACAGCTGGATCAGGCACATGTCCAAACAGACTGTGAATTTTTCCTGCTGCTGTCAAAATGGACCCCATACAGTTCAATAGAGGTTTTTTGCCCCTTTTACAAACCTAAGCCTCCTTTATTTGCTGAACTTACATGACTGCTACTACAGCAGCAGGTGGCAATGTGCTGAAGGGCAACAGAAATTGATGGAAGTGATAAGTGGGTGAAGCAAACACTAGAACAAGAAAGATCACAGGCTGTTGCAAGAATTCAAGAACCAACTGGAGCAGGATTGTGGTCACAAAACAGACTGGAGGAACTGGATTGCATGGCAGATCTGGGATAACCATCAGGAAATGCAGCTTGCTCCAGGCCCTGCTATCGAGACACTACAATCAGAGAGGTGGTCAGCCATGTTGGCCTGAAGTCAGGCAGAAGGTAAGGCAGGCTGGCACTTCTCTGGTTCAGAGAGGCATTTAACCACTTCCACCTCTCCATCAAAATTACTTTTGAACAGTCCACCCAACAAATTAATGTTTTGGACACCACTGTGAAACTGCAATGGTCACACTGGTACAATATATTGGATATCACTACATTGTCTTGGAAACCTACTGACCACTACAGCTACCTCAACACCATCAGCTTTCATCCGAAGCACACAACTGATCCACTGAACTGTAGCCAAGATCTATGTTACACCCACCCATAGCTGCTCTGATCACACTGACCAGGATGCATACCTCGGGTATAGAGAACAGTGTTTCCTACACAAACAATGCAATCCCAAGACCGTAGCCACTCAAAGCAAGAGAGCTAGACTCAGCCCTGCTCTGACCGGTAACAATACCAACCCTGTGACACAGACAACAGAATTTGTCCAGTTGTCACATAGCAGCCCCCAACCAAAATACCTTACACCAGTGGAACCCAAATCTTCAGGCTCTGTGGGCCAGATGAGTGGTACAAAGTCAGTCCATGAACCCAATCCAACATGCAGAACTGTATCACCTGGCCCTCAGAATTCCCCACTGGTCTGGAAATTTGACAGCAGGACAAACAGCAGTATCATTAATTTCCACAGCTCCAAGAACGGCAGCAATTAAGGCTGCCGCCACTACCTCACCACCAAATTTCTGGACCTGTGGAAAGCCCTGTGGACTGGATGATATGGCTCTGTGGGCTGGATCCAGCCCACAGATAGTATCTTGGCCACCCCTGCCCTGCACGCCACATTAATGACCTCAGTCATCATTTTACAGGAGAGGCCAATCTCAAGGTAGTCTTGGAGAATAAAGCTATCTTGGTTTACAGGCAGCCCCTAACCTCAAATGATAGGTCTCCTCCAACAGGCCACCTAACTCCAATTCTCACTTAACCCACCAGGCCTTGCTACAGACCCCCATGCTGGTTGTACACCGTCATCGACACAAACAGATCACATCATCAGCGGAGCAAACAACACAAATTATAACATCTAGGTTCATTTACCTACTCCTCTACCAATGCCATATATACCATTACCTGCTTACAGCACTTCTCTGCTATCTGCATTGGTCAGACATGGCAACCCCTATGTAAAAGAATGAATGGACACTGATCCAACATCCATTCCAGAAGCACACAAAAGCCTGTGGCAGAATACTTCAGCCTCCCTGGACATTCCATCATTGACTTGAGAGTAGCTGTCCTCAAAAAAAACCTTTAAAAACCCACTTGAATGTGAAATTACAGAACAAGAAATCATCCACAGACTGCAACGTGTTAACTGTGTTCTCAAAAGAGATTATAGATTCTATCCCATTGCTTGGACTAGTTGTTAACTCTAGTGTTCCTCAAGCTATAACTACCTTCTTCATCTCAAATGATCTAATCAACCCACCTTTTACCTCTCTTAGCAGTGTCCTCTTCTCCTAGTCCTTTCCCTTTATATATAAAACCCTTTCAAATTCATTCACAGCATCTCACAAAGTAGGCTGCAGCCTATGAAAGTATATGCCTCTCTGAACCAGTTAGTCTCTAAGGTTACTGCCCTACTTTATGACTAAAAATAAAAGCAGAATTCACAGCAGGGAGGTAGATGGCAATTGCATATGGGAAGCTTGCTACCTAGGTAGGCCTACTCTCAGTCAGTGGCCAGTCAATTTGGGGTTAAGAAATTCACAATTGGAACAGTTGATTATCCTAGTCTATAAAGTTATTAAGCATGTCCTGTTTTGAAATATACACAGAAAATACCAGAGAAATATGAAATAATGGGTTTTGTGAACTGTGGTTGGACAAGAGATTGGATACATATCTTGCCACTACCAAAATTCCCCCCAACCCTTGTCTATCAGTACATATAGGGAGATTTTTCCATTCTTATCTAAATACAGGAGGATCACCAGAGACACTTTGCTGCAGTAACATTAGCTTGCTAGGGAAGGTGTATTATGTTCTTATCTTTAGGAACAGATGACTTTTCCATAAGATGGAAGAAACAATATTATTACCAAACCAGCAAATTCAGATTGGTAAGGATGAAATGCTCATAGTGATTCTAGAAGATCTGATTTACCTTTCCATGATTCATTAAGACATACACTGAATAGCCTGACAACAGCAAGGAAAGATTTAACCATAGACCAGGGCAGAATGATTCCTGAATGTTTTTTTGGTAGTCTGAAAGGACACTGACAATACCTCCCAAAGTACGTTAGATCTTAGAGAAGAAAGTAATCCTATCGTTATTCCTGCATACCATGTATTGTGTAATATTTGTGAAGCAAAGGATGAAAGCTTACCATCAAGGTGCAAAAAGAGGAATCGATAGATTATCAGCTGATTTGGAACACAAGAGGCCCTCCAGGAGCTGCATAGCTAAGGGAAGGCTTAATGGATTACTTTATCAATCAACCATAGTAGTGAGGTAAGCTGCTTTTGTGTAGAGGATTGTGAGTCTAACTTAAATATTGAAACGATATATTATTTTAAATTACGATTTCTCCGTTATGGGTTTAACTGCTGTTGGCTTTCAAATAAATTTGCTTTGAATCTCAGCTGACATACTTTTATTAAGCAAAATAACAAACCGGTCAGTGAACACAAGGAAAAAGAATGACATACTTGGAGGGTAATCAAAACTCAAATTAGTTTTGAGATTTACACAAAAATATATATATTACATAGTAAAGTGCTTACTGAACTATATTAATAAAATGCAGTTAGCTATAACCACTATATTCCATGTTTCTGTAGGAATGTAGTACATCTTATATGGGAGAATGTACTTGACTTTTTGAACATCAGATTGTCTATGAGGTATTGGTGGGGGGAGTTGGACATTTTGCTTCAAAATAGTTTGCAATATTTGTTTGTTGCTTAAGGGGTTTCATTATGCTCTGTATACTTCTCTATCCTCTACTTCTCTACTGTGCAGCTTCTTTTTTCCCCTTTCTGTCCTACTGCTTCTCCTCTGACATTTTCTCCTTCCACTTCTGGTTCTTTGGCAATCTCTTGAGTATGTGTTCTCTCCAAT